AGGATAAAAAGGCAGCAAAGCATACAAAATAAATATAAATAAATATAAGGTTTAGGATAAAATTACTAAAAAGGATCTTATATACCTTAACACAGCCCTGGCTATTTAGGAAGAGAATAATTAATCAACTTAATTCGGATTTTCTTTGGCGCTAGGCAAAGAGTGCAACCTTTTATGAATACTCTGGCTCCACTTCTGCAAGTAAAGCTATCATTTTTTCGGATGTGGAGCAGGAGCCCAATTGTGCCAAGAAATTTCTTTCTTGGGGATGAATAGAGTGGACAGTCCAGCAGGTAATGACAGATCATCAGGTACTGAGCCACCACATATACAAAGGTGCTCAGTTGCTGGTATTTTGGGATATCGGCCTTCAAGCAATGCTGTTTGCATAGTTTGGAAGCAGAGGGATGTAAAGGCTGAACACAAGTTAAAGAAAGAAATTTTAGTCAGATAAGGTGCCCTGCAATGGTCCACTTTAATCAATTTATACCAAGGAGATGATTTATGTCTTAGTATAACTTCTCTATCTAGACCAGCATCATGTGTGTATATTTGCACCTTGCTATCAAAAATCAGCCTGAAAGGTTCCACGGACAATGTCCGGCAGATTATACATCTGAAGGACGGTATTATACTGAGATTGCCAATTAGGGTCTTTCACGCTTTCAGAAAAACAGAGTCTGTCAAGATTATCTGCTGGAGCTCTTTTCAATCTGTGCCAGTAGTTGAAAAAAAAATTATGAGCGCAAGGCCAAAGGTAGGGAAGACCCACTTCAGCCCTCAACATAGGGTTGCCAAGTATTACCTCGATCCAGAGCGGACTCCCGGGTTGCTCCCGGAGCACGCACGTGCAATGCGGGTGCGTGCCGCATCCACGTCACACGGAAGTGACGCGATCACACAGGGCACGCTGGGGGCGGGGCCATGACCATCTGAGGGAAAACCATAGTCCAGGCTAGCCTGATCTTGTCAGATCTCAGAAGCGAAGCAAGGTCAGCTCTGGTCAGTATTTGGAAGGGAGCCCACCAAGGAATACCAGGGACACAGAGGCAGACAATGGCAAACCGCCTTTGTATGTCTCTTGCCTTGAAAACCCCATGGAGTTGCCATACGTCAGCTGTGACTGCAAAACAAACAAAAAAAGAGAGGCTTGTCATTACTTCTGGGTTTCCCCCAGAAATGACGTCACATCAATACTGATAGACAGGGTCATCCGAGGGATAACTCTATGGTTTTCCCTTGGATGATCGTGGCCCCGCCCCCAGCGTGCCTGGTAGGGTGGCCAGGGATGGGTTGGAAAATACCTGGAGACTTTGGGGGTGGATCCAGGAGAAGGTGGGGTTTGGGGAGGGGAGGGGCCTCAGCATGGTACAATGCCATAGAGTCCCCCCTTCAAAGGAGCCATTTTCTCCAGGGGAGCTGATCTCTGTCAGCTGGAGATCAGTTGTAAAAGCGGGAGATCTCCAGGACCCACCTGGAGGCTGGCAACCCTAGCAAAGGGCTTTCAAAGCTAATGAGAAGCAGAGGTAGTTTGCCATTGCCATCCTCTGCAGAGTGTTCTTTGGTGATCTCCGATCTAAGTACCGACTTTGCGTAGATCCCAAGATCCCAAAATCTTACGACACTGGGCTATACCGTGCTATCTTCCCTCTCAAGAACATAACCACTTTCCAATGAAGTCCATCACTGACTGAGTAAAAACTGCTCAAAATAAGGAGCAGTTGGTGCTTATTATTTTAAGTTCAGTTGCTCCTGCTATTACTTTTTCGATCATCGATCCATCATGGTTACCTGTAATTTCTACAACTCAGTGCTTGGGTGCAGCTTAATTTACAGGGTTGGCTCTGTGTGGCTTAAGACCTCTGGGATAATTTATTGGAATCCTTCTCTCTGAGTTATTTATACTGCTTGTCTGCTTAAGTCAGTAACATGCCAGGCAGTTGTATTTGATAGAAGCTGGTGGTGCAGAAATGTTATTGATTGCAGAGTAGTTGGCAATTAGACACACTATCACATATACTTGTTTTTGATCAGTTGTGCTAGCTGTAGTTTCTTATATTATGCCGCAGCAGCAGTGCTAATGGTTGTTACTATTTCGTATTTGTTTTTAAATGAGTCAGCATGGAAGGCTGCTTTAAAAGGTGCTGTTAGATGGGGTATGCAAGGAGAGGCACTTACGGTGCCATCCCAAGCAGTTACTACCTTCAAGTCCATTGGAGCCAGTGGGTTTGGAAGGTTGTAACTCTGTTTACATGTAACTCATGCCGGCCACATGACCACGGAAATGTCTTCGGACAGCGCTGGCTCTTCGGCTTTGAAACGGAGATGAGCACCGCAACCCTAGAGTCGGATTCGACTGGCTTTCGAGCAAGGGAACCTTTACCTTTACCTAACTCTGTTTAGGATTGCTCTGTCAGTCTCCCAAACTGCTGTAGCTTCGTTGATGGAACATTCCCTGGCATATTTGGTATATCTGCTTGCCTTATGGTATTTGTCATCTCCATGCATATATTAGTTCTGGTAACCAAAATATTTATGAGCATTTTTAATGTCATTTCTGTGATTGATCGGCTTATGTAGTTAAACTCAGACAAGCAGTTTACATAGTTCAGTAAGCCTCTGTTAATCAAAGTTACCTAGAAAACATGACAAAAACAGGGATTTCTACATGATTTTGTGTGTTTGTGTACACACACACATTACTTGGTCAGTAAGTTTCAGAAATGTCTACCTGGTTTGGACTAACAAAGACTTTCACCTGGAAATCATGAAATCAGAGAAGAGCCTTACCAAGCTGCTTTCCTATTTCCAACAGTTTCAGTCATCAACTGACTTTGTGATAAAGGTGTTGTTTGTCCATGTTCTCATTCATAAGAACATAAGAAGAACCCTGCTGGATCAGACCAATGGTCCATCTAAGTCCAGCATCCTACATCACACAGTGGCCAGCCAGTTCTTCTCTAGCGCCAACAACGGGGCATAGTGGCTGAGACCTTCCCCTGATGTTGCCTCCTGGCTCTGGGATTCAGAGGGCTAATGCTTCTGAATGTAGAGGTTCCCCTCAGTTACCATGGCTAGTAGCCATTGATAGACTTATCCTCCATGAATCTATCTAATCCCTTTTTAAAGCTGTTTATTCCTGTGGCCATCTCTACATCCTCTGGGAGTGCATTCCACATTTTAATCACTCTCTGTGTAAGTATTTCCTTTTGTTCATCCTGAATCTACTGCCCACCAGCATCATTGGATGCCCTGAAGTTCTAGTATCTTGGAAGAGGGGGAAAATGTCTCTTTGTCAACTTTGTCTACCCCATGCATAATTTTATAAACTTCTATCCTGTCCCCCATTAGTCATCTCTTTTCTAAACTGAAAAGTCCCAGACTCTTCAGCCTTTCCTGGTTCCCCTCTGGATCCCTTTTTAAAAATGGGTGTCACATTTGCTAATCTCCAGTCTTCTGGTACAGTGGCTGAATTTAGTGATAGTTTACGTATATAGGTTAGTAGATCAACTATCTCACATCTGAGTTCCTTAAGAACTCTTGGGTGTATGCCAGCAGGACCTGGAGACTTACCGGTTTTTAATTTCCCCAGCAGGTCTAGAACTTCATATCTGGCCACCTCAATTTGGCTCAGTTCTTCAGACTCCCTTCCTGAAAATAGAGGCTGTGGCATGGGCACGGGCCCCACGCTTTCCACAGTGAACACAGAAGCAAAAAAGTCGTTGAGCTTTTCTGCCATCTTCCCATCTTACTTTAGAAATTCCTTTATTCCTTTGTCATCCAAAAGGCTTCTCTCCTTCTCTGGCTGGTTTCCTGCCCCAGATATATTTCAAAAAATGTTTATTGTATGTCTTGATGCTTTTAGCAAGCTACTCCTCAAAATATCTTTTTGCATGCCTAATTATTGACTTATATTTCTTGTTCCAAAGCCTGTGATCCCTCCTTGTTCATTTTATTGGGGTAGACCTTCCACTTTTTAAAAGAAGCCTCTTTACTTTTTATAGCTGCTTTGACTTGCATAGTTAACCATGCAGGCCTTCTTTTAGACTTGGCAGTGCCTTTCTTAACCTGTGAGATGCATTCTATTTGGGCTTCAATTAGTGTGGTTTTAAATAGCTTCCACACATCCTTGAGGGATTTGTCTCTCTTCTGTTTCACCTTCAGCTTCCTTTTTACTATCCCCCTCATTTTTGTAAAGTTTTCTCTTTCGAAATCAAATGTTACCATTTAGGACTTTAGGGGTAACTTTCCATTGACCTGAATGCTGAACTTAATAGCATTGTGGTGACTGTAACAACCTCTGTATATCTCACCAGGTCTTGAGACCCAGTCAGAACCAAGTCCAAGTTCACTACCCTTCTGGTTGGCTCTGTGACCAACTGTTCCAGTGCAGTCACTTATGTCTAGGTAAAGGTTTCCCTTGCTCAAAAGCCAGTCGAATCCAACTCTAGGGTTGAGGTGCTCATCTCCATTTCCAAGCCGAAGAGACAGCGCTGTCCAAAGACGTTTCCATGGTCATGTGGCTAGCATGACTAAACACTAAGGCACATGGGACACTGTTATCTTCCCACCAAAGTGGTAACTATTTATCTACTTGCAATTTCTTGCTTTCGAACTGCTAGGTTGGCAGAAGCTGGAACCAGAGACAGGAGCTCACTCTGTCATACAGCACTCACGTCTTGAACTGCTGAACTACTGACCTTCCAGCCTGCAGTTCAGTTTCTTAACCACTTGAGCAGAAAATCTCATTTCTACAGCATTACTTGAGCACATGTTTACCCAGTCAATGTGAGGGTAGTTAAAGTCTCCCAGTATAACAACATTATCTGCTTTAATCACCTCTCTTATTTCCTTCTCCATCTCAAGATCAATCAGCCTCAGGGGTCTGACCAGGTGGGCAATAGTAGACCCCCACTTTTAAGTAACCCTTAGGACCCAGTATTTCCACCCATATCACAGCCAGGTTTGTATTTTAACTCATCTTTTTTCTTTCCTGATAGGTGCTCGGCTGGATTCGGAATGGAGAGTCAATGCTCAATGCCAGCCTTGTCAATGCGAGTTCCCTGTCAGAAGCTGAGCAGCTCCAGAGAGAGCACGAGCAGTTCCAACTAGCTATAGAGGTAAAAGAAAAAGCATATTTGTGCTCTCCTTTGCCCACGTAAAAATAAAACCAAGGTCGCCTTATGGGCAAAAACTGTGAATGGTGATAAAAAGAGAAAGAAACAAGAGCAACTTGTCATTTACATCCTAACTAGTGTGAGGCTAGGATATGAGTAAATTATTTCCCGACAGCAACCTCTTCAGATTCATGAAAGAACTGCCCATTCTACATGGCCCCCCTTGCCAATAATTCAGCCAAATGAAAGTTCATGAAAGTTTAGCTTGAAGATAGGAATGTATAGCTGATTTCAGAATAGGACACTGCATAACATTGTGACGCATCCCTCTCAACTGAAGGATTTTATGCTTTGATGGACCACACTGGTGCCAGAAGGCTCTGTTGTTCTTACAAGTCTGGTTTGCCCTTTCTTTTTCTTTTTCTTTTTTGGAGGGAGAATAGATAGGTAAAAGGAGAGTTAAATAAAAAAGATATTTCAACCTGTTGATTTGATTTGTTGCAGCAAGTTTAAAGGTTCAAGGTTCAAACAGGCACTGCTTGTAGAATAAATCATCTGAGTCCAAAGAAAGTTTACAGTGAGCATGGACTACATCATGTCTTTTCTCAGTACTAAATTTGCAACTTTTATAGAGCACTGTTCCTGTAGTGCTTTTGCGCATGTGTTTTCATCATAGTTTTCAGAAATGAGCTATGTTTAATCACTCAGTGTCACAGGACTCCTGTTTATTTTTTAATTCAGTAAAGTGTTATAAACATGATGCTGCAAGCTCTTCTTGCAGGCTCCCATATACCTAATGTGAAATGAAAAACTGATACTGTTTGAACATCCAGTTAAAAATGGTTCTAACCAGGGGTCATTTTGTAGGAAAAAGAGGTGCAAAAGTTCATTAGCATACCTCATTAGCATAACTTACTTGCATATGCCACACCCCCTGACATCACCGGAAGTGTGTCAGAAGGCAACACCCACTGCTCAAGCTCCACTGGACTGTTTTGGATTGCTAGCTATTGGGGGGGGGAATCATGCAGATCTGTCCTCACAGAGGAGGGAAAGCTTGTACCTGAAGGCGGGCCGGGGGGGCCTCTGCAACTTACCTGGCTGCTTCCTGCTCCTCGTGGCCTGACTGAGGGCTGCTGGGACCAGGGGGTGGGGCTTCTTGCATGTGCCCATCCCCTGAGCTCCTTACTGCCAGAGCTCCGCTCCTGTGCGCTCCTGCAGGAAATGACCCCTGATGTGAAATTCACATATGCACAAAAATGGTCTAGGGGAGAATGAAAGCCACTTTTAGTATCATCTGTGAAAATGTCCTGATTATGAAACCACAGAATGGTACTTACCTAATAACTAGTAAAAGAGTATTGTAGTTGGCTTGCCTAGGAGTTCCTCATTCAGATACTTTAATGCAGAGTTACCTTTTGAGAGAGATATTGATCATCTCTCAGTGAGTGCCTGTTTATTTGCAACCACACTTGTTACAATCAAATGTCATGGTATTAAGCAATCCCTGAAGGGGATTTAATAGTTCAGCATCCAGCAGAGGAGATTTGGTATCATTGGGCAAGCTCCACATTTTGGCAGCGTTAACCAGGCCCCTCTCTAGAAGCAGGATTCATCGTTCTGTTAGCACAGCTTGCTGCCCTCCAGAGATACTTGTACTTGGCATTAACTAAGAGCTACACAGTAAGACGCAAGCTCTAATGCTGCCAAAGAGAGTGGAAAGTTTGTTCAGAGGGGGGAAATGCGACATTAAATACTCATGGTGTTTGAAGACTCAGCATGGTCCTGGTAGATCAGCAGACGCACACAACAGATCAGGGAATGCCTGGTTGCTGATCTGGGGAGGTTCCCTGCAAATCTTTTAACATCTGTTTTTTTAAAAAACAAACCTCTCCAGAAACAGCTGGACAGTCAACACCAATTTATTTATTGTTAACATTTTTACCCCGCCCTCCCCGCAAGCGGGTTCATGGCGGCTTACAAGAGGGCACAAGCCCATACATAAAAGCAGGATAAAAGAGTAAAACCATTAAATAACAACCAAAACAGGAATAAAGTGCTCCATACAAACAAGATGGTCTCCGAAGATGGTATCAATCCTTTCATTGGGGTGATATTGTCCTGTCGATGGTCCATGGCCAGTCCAGCGGTATCAGTGCCATGCAAGATCGTGGCGGATCTTCCGGGGACCTCCCCTTGAGCATGTCTACTAATGCTCCTTCCCAGCATTCATTTTGCCCTCTTGTTCACAGGTGGTTTCAGTGATTCTGTGGCGCTGGGTTACAGTCAGGGATGGGACCCCAGAATCACTGGGTGTGGGGGGATGGGGTGGCTTCAGGATAGCACCCAGTAATCAGCTGTAGGATTCTGAGGGCGCTTTGCCCCCCCCCTGCAGCTGATTGCCCTGAGACTGTGTGAGTCATGACCCTCACCCCTGGAGTCACTCACCACAACCGTAGGGGAGATACAGCTGACAATCATGGCAGATCAGTAGTTGAAGGCCCCCCAGCGCGGGGGCCTGGGACAGCTGCCCCTGCTGCCCCGAAGCTAAAACCATTTATACTCTTTCTGTTTGTTTGTTTGTTTGCTTGCTGTATTCTTTGCATTGTCCTGTTTGATATGTTACATAAACAGAAGCTAATTTTATGAGTCAGGAGTCCATTCTAAAAGTGGGTGCACTCAGGGCTTTTTTTGTAGAAAAAGCCCAGCAGGAACTCATTAGCATAATAGGCCATACCCAACAACAGGAACTCATTAGCATATTAGGCCACACCCCTGACAGCACAGCTCATTCGCATATTAGGCCACACCCCCATGTTACCAGAAGTGTGGTCATCCAACCACACCCACCTTTTGCTTCTTATTCTCTTTACCTTGTTTGTTGTCAAACCCAGGGCTTTTTGTTTGGAGCAGGAACTCCTTTGTATGTTAGGCCACACACCCTAATTGTAGCCAATCCTGATGAGTTTCTGCTGTTGGGTGTGGTTCTTGCTGGTGGCTGTGCTTTCAGTTCCCTTTCTTAAACTGGGAGTGATATTGTCCTACCTCGTGGGGTTGTTGCGAGAAAGAGGAAACAAAGATTCAAAAGCACGGAGGATTTAATGTAATGTGTGTACTCCTTCTACTATGAAGCCGCGGGAACAGCACTCAGTAAAATGCTTAATGGGGAATCTGTGAATTGTTGAACGTGCTCTAAAACCATGTTTCGCTCTCTCATATTTTCATGCTGACACATTCACTTCACCTCTTTTTACCATATGCCTTGCACATCCGTACAAATCTCTCTTTCCTCCCCTCATGCACAGTCCCTCTTTCATGCCACTTCCTTGCAGAAGACACACCAGAGTGCCCTTCAGGTGCAGCAGAAGGCAGAGGTACTGCTACAGGCTGGGCACTATGACGCCGATGCCATCAGAGAATGCGCAGAAAAGGTGGCAATGCACTGGCAGCAGCTCATGCTGAAGATGGAGGACAGGCTGAAGCTGGTTAATGCCTCTGTTGCTTTTTATAAAACCTCAGAACAGGTGAGCTGAATCCCTTGCCTTGGCAGTGACTTTTGGAGGCCAGATAGTGGATGCTCCCAGAAAATGGCTGCTGTGGACCAGTCACAAAATGGCTGCTGGGGGGGGGGGCTAGGTCCAATCACAAAATGTTGGGAAGTTCCAAGCCAAGCATCTTCCTACGATGGAGGTAGAAGTTTCAATAACAGTTCGTTGTAGACACAAAGGTGAGACTTCCTGGATTCTTGTGAAGCACCTCGTCCTGCAATGAGAAGGTGGAGGCAAGCTGGGATTGGCTCTTTGATTTGATTTGAGGAAGAGATAATAAATAATAATAATAATACCTTTTGATTTATTGATCGCTCAATCGGCAGAGCTGCTGGCTCTGAGCGATTTACAGTTACACGGTTTCACACAAGGGACTAACAATTTCATAGGGGTAAGGGAGGACAACATGTAATTCTTTAAATCGCACACATTTTGCAGCCGATGGGGATTTTTGTTCAGCTGTAGGCTTCAGACGTGTTCCGAACGGCATTCATTTCGGCTTGGCTTGATGAAGTTAGTTCTTCCTGGGCTGCTTTTTGAGTCGTAGCACCGCACTGCCACCGCCTGGCCAGATTGGCCCATCACAGGCTTCTTAATGCCGAAGAGGTCTTTTTCCAGGCTTCCGAGCTGGACATTCCATTTGCCAGCTAACACCTCCCCTACGGGGGTTTAGTGTGCCCACCCTCTCTAAGGAGTGGTACCCATTTTATCTACTCGCCGAAGCTTTCGAACCGCTGGGTGGACGGCGAGCTGGGGACAAGGCTGGTAGCTCACACCAGCGCGGGCTAGAACTGACAGCAACTCTGTTCAGTTCAGATGTTAACCAGAGGATAAATCCTCTGTGCCACCGCTCCCCTCCAAAGATGCTTTGGGGGAGAAGGAAGTGGTGCCAGGAATGACTGTGTGAAAATTAGTCCTGAGAATTTAGTTCACTAAAACAACAACAACAAACTGGGATCTGCTATCCAGGATTGTCCACTCACAGTTTGGGTATAATAGCCCAAACAATTAAATACCCATTTCAGCCTGGCCATTTCCAGAGCATCTGTGCTATTAATTAAAGCATCCTTGAGCCCCACACTACACAAGAAGAGACGTGGCACATTTGGTTAATGTGGACTTCTTAGACCAAGTGACAGGTAGGTGGATTAAAAGCACAGCTTGGAAGCCAAGGGATCGCTTCCAAGACAACTTCCAGACTAGAAATCAAAGTTCCTCACCTGCCAAGTGTGCTGGAAACTGCCTTGCAGTGACTATTTTTATTTCTTCGCTGAATACCCCTAAGATAGGAATATCATGTAATATTGTCTGTGAATCTATTTTGGTTGATTTCACAGCAATAGGTTAATGCAACTTAGGATCATATTGGTTGTTTACTAGCAGTTTTGAATTGTGATTTGAAATTGTATTTTATCTGTGTTGTGAGCTACCGTGCGCTTCGCAAGGAAGAAGGCAGCTAATAAATGTTTTAAATAAATCAAACGTGTACGTTGATCCTTGTGTACTTCTGGAGGTATCACCAGTGACTGAGCTATTCTATCCTGGCTCATTCTGTAGGTTTGCAGTGTGCTGGAGAGTTTGGAGCAAGAGTATCGAAGGGATGAAGATTGGTGTGGAGGCCGGGATAAGCTTGGACCCGCGTCTGAGATAGATCACGTCATCCCCTTAATCAGCAAACACCTGGAACAGAAGGAAGCCTTTCTCAAGGTTTAGCTTGTTTCTCCAGTTTTTTAGTAGACTGTCTTTCCTTGTTCAGTGTAAGTGATCTGGTCACATAAAAGCAGCTGAGCTGTATTCCTAGGTGGGAACCTTTTTGCAATAAAGCAGGTAGTGTTCTACATGTTAACATATCAGTAGGGAAAAAGTCATAAATAAAAATATTGTTTGTGTAGTCCGTATCTACCCTTTCTCTGTAAAGCCTGTCAGACTGAATAGCCTGTACAGTCTTCTGTGCAATAATGGCTGCCCCAGTTTCCCTCATCCTCAGAGTCAGTCCCAGACATACAAAACAGACTCAATCATGTGAACACCTGAATGTTACCAAAGAACGTATCTACAAGTACATCTTAGGCAGTGCTGTGGAAAGGCCCCAGATGCTCCCGTGGAATTAAGGACAGAGCTGAGCCTGCCATCCAAGCATGAAGGAGGTTGGCTTTAGACAGATCCCAACATTTATTTTCATTTTCTAGGTATTTATGTATTTTTTATAAATATTTATACTCCACTTTTTCTTCGTGTCTGGGTATGGGCCCATCCCCAGACTCAATGCCTGCATTCCCCCAGCCTCACGAACCACGCCCAAGGGGAAGGCAACTGACGTGCCTCAAGAGTGGCAACCCCAAACTCACTGCAGCTGGCAGTGGTTCAGCGGGGGCCCTAGAAGACCAGAATGGTGGCAGCAGCAGAGGAGGCAGCAGTAGGCGTTGGCAGCATTGCGCCATCAAGAGAAGCAGGAGGCCAGTGAGGAAGAGGGAGAACAAGTAGCATGGGCAGTCAACTGGCACTGTGTGGGCCTTCAGGAAGCTGTCCCGGCACAGCTGGTGGGAATTTCCTGTCTGGCAGATCTCCCAGGTCAGCCAATTGGGCTGACAGGCAGTGCCAGGAGGGACTTATCATGGAGAGAGCAGGGATGAAGAAGAAGAAGAGAAGAGATTGGATTTATACCCCGCCCTTCACTACCCAAGGGAGTCTCAGAGCGGCTTACAAACTCCTTTCCCTTCCCCTCCTCACAACAGACACCCTGTGAGGTAAAAGAAGAAGAGATTGGATTTATACCCCGCCCTTCACTACCCAAAGGTGTCTCAGAGTGGTTTACAAACTCCTTTCCCTTCCCCTCCCCACAACAGACACCCTGTGAGGTAGGTGGGGCTGAGAGAGCTCTTGACAGAAACTGCTCTTTTTCAGGAACAGCTCTTATGAGAACTACGGCTTGCCCAAGGTCATCCAGCCAGGTGCCAGTGGAGGAGTGGGGAATCAAACCCGGCTCTCCCAGATTAGAGTCCGCACACTTAACCACTGCACCAAACTGGCATGACACCAGCTCAACCCTGCCCTGACAGGTATACCATCTAGAGGGCCAGGGATTGTGGGAGGCCAGGGAAGAGGTGGGGCCAAACCCAGCCCCCAGAAGGCAGTTCCCACAACAGGCCAGGGAGAAAGCAATGGATCCTGCTCCAGCCCAGTGAGAGCAGGTATCCAAGAAAGAGAGAGGAACCAGGTGGGGCCACTCCCTCCTCACCTCATTCTGAGGCCTGGAGAGGTCAGGGGCCAACATTCACCTGACAGCAGAAGGACAGCCTTCAGGGCTGGCCGGGGCGTGGGGGGAGCATCACACTGGAAACTCAAGGCAGCTAGCAAAACAGGAAAAGCTGCAGGATAGAGATATCCTAAACGTTCTTCAAGTTAAAAACAACACAGAATTAAAACACAGAGTTAAACAGTCTTTACCCAGAGTTAAAAGCCAGTACACAGGGTTGACACATCTACAACAGCTTATCCTCCAAATGCTTTCTGGGACAGAGCAGTCCTGCATGTAGCGGGTTTAGACACCCACCCGCTCCCTCTCTAGTAGGGCATTCCAGAGAAATGGACTTTCTTAAAGAATGCCCATGACTGGTCTGTTGCCAAACAGACCATCCTAGCTGAAGGTATCACTAGGCGAATACTGTCTGAGAAGTGCAGCTGGAGCATGGGACAATACCAAGAGGTATGCGCCCACAAAGGGCTTTGAAGGTGATGGCCAAATGCGCAGCAAATGCGCAGCAACCCCAACCGCTCAGCAATTTCATGGAGTGCCCACAAGTTCTTGTATTGTGAGAAAGGGAGAAAAGTACCTCTTTCTCTACCTGTTCTTTCCCATGCATAATCTTATAAACCTCAATCATGTCTCCCCTCAGTCATCGTTTCTCCAAGCTAAAGAGCCCTAAGCGTTTTAACCTTTCCTCATAGGGAAAGTGTTCCAACCCTTTTATCATTCGGGTTGCCCTTTTCTGCACCTTTTCCAAAGCTATAATATCCTTTTTAAGGTGTGGTGACCAGAACTGTACACAGCACTCCAAATGAGGTCGCACCATTGATTTATACAGGGACATTATGATATTGGCTGACCTGTTTTCAATACCCTTCCTAATAATCCCCAGCATAGCATTGGCCTTTTTTATTGCTGTCACACACTGTCTCGACATTTTCATTAAGTTTTCTACTACAACTCCAAGATCTCTCTCTTGACCAGTCTCTGCCAGTTCAGACCCCATCAATGTGTATTTATATTTAGGATTTTTGGCTTCAAACTTCCATGGTGGAATAAAACTTCCATTAGCTCTTGATATTGGTACTTCAAACAAAACGAAGAATCCAAAGCATATTACTTGGTCCAGCCCCACTCCTTCCCTCCAAGCTCTCATTTCTTTCCTGCTCCAACATGGATGGCAGCTGCACACATATAGCATGCAGGGGAGAATGGGGCTTGGGCCCTGCTTCTCCATTTCTGGGGGAGTTTGGTATTAGGATGAAAGGACTTCTGGTTGGATGAACCTGACTAGATAAGGCAGCTGTGCTAAAACAGGAATGTAGGCAGTGGGAATTATCAGGCTGTTCCTCTCTGGCACACAGTAGTTCCCCACCTCAACCAGAAAGAGCTCCTAATCATTTGTTTCCCCCAGGTGTGGTTTACACATCACATAATAATATCATGTGCCAGTTTGGTGTAGTGGTTAAGTGCATAATCTTATAAACCTCAATCATGTCACCCCTCAGTCGTCATTTCTCCAAGCTAAAGAGCCCTAAGCGCTTTAACCTTTCCTCATAGGGAAAGTGTTCCAACCCTTTTATCATTCCAACCCTTTTTATCATTCGGGTTGCCCCTTTCTGCACCTTTTCCAAAGCTATAATATCCTTTTTAAGGTGTGGTGACCAGAACTGTACACAGCACTCCAAATGAGGTCACACCATTGATTTATATAGGGGCATTATGTTTCACCCTGTCCTATTGGACTCTAATATTGGAGAACCGGGTTTGATTCCCCACTCCTCCACTTGCACCTGGCTGGATGACCTTGGGGAAGCCATAGTTCTGATCAGAGCTGTTCTTGAAAAAAGAGCAGTTTCTGTCAAGAGCTCTCTCAGCCCCGCCTACCTCAGAGGGTGTCTGTTGTGGGGAGGGGAAGGGAAAGGAGTTTGTAAGCCGCTCTGAGCCTCCTTTGGGTAGTGAAGGGCGGGGTATGAATCCAATCTCTTCTTCTTCTTCTTTTACCTCACAGGGTGTCTGTTGTGGGGAGGGGAAGGGAAAGGGGTTTGTAAGCCGCTCTGAGACACCTTTGAGTAGTGAAGGGTGGGGTATAAATCCAATCTCTTCTTCTTTTTCCCTCCCCTCCCCACGACAGACACACCCTGTGAGGTAGGGGAAGGGAAAGGAGTTTGTAAGCCGCTCTGAGACTCCCTTGGGTAGTGAAGGGCGGGGTATAAATCCAATCTCTTCTTCTTCTTCTTCTATTTTGAAAGACTGTATTCCAGAAGAAACCAACTGGCACCTCATGGAATAAAGACCAACTTTGGTCGGTTGGAGGAGGGGCATTACGATTATTATTGGCTTTATTTTTTCTGCTGGAACCAGCCTGTTTTTCCACATCACAATTCTCTTCGGTCTGGCAGACCACATCCCATCAGTGATGGATGTGTGTGACTGCAATCTGAGATTCCCTCATTGTTTTCTCATGCACATCAATATCCTTGGGAGGTCAGATGGGCAAAAGAAGTTCATGTCACAGTTTGGTGGTTTCTTCAATAGTTTTTCCTTCCTTGCTGCATGTCAAAAGGTTAAGTATGTGTGTTGCGTTTGCTGCCCGCAGGCCTGCACTCTAGCACGAAGGAATGCAGAAGTGTTTCTCAAGTACATTCACCGAAACAATGTCAGCATGCCAGGTGTGGTGAGCCATACAAGGGGACCTGAGCAACAAGTTAAAGGTTTGTATGTGTTCTTTGGGAGATGCATTCTCAGAATGCCCACTTGGCTTTGCACCACTTACTAACTGAGTAGGCTTGTGCTCGTCACAGATGTCTGCTTCTCTTGGATGGCATGTAGTAAACATTTGCCGTAAAGATTACAGATTCTTATACTTTTAACCTTTTAAACTGGATAGGATGAGCTCAGAATGCAGTCTAACGAGACAAAAGGGTTGCACAGTGGGGTTTCTTTCTAGAGGTGTGAGTTTGCACCTTGAGTTGCTCATACTGAAGAACTCTGGGACAGCAGGACATGTTTCACCCTGTCCTATTGGACTTTGCTCTGATCAGACTTCCTCTGACAGAAGATTTACCACAGGACCATATGCAGAGTGGCACCTTTCTCTAAGCCCACTGACTTCAAGGGACTTGTAAGGGTGTAAATCTGTTTATACAGGGGTGGTCTTGGTGATTCTGGGGCCCCGGGCAAAAGTCCAGGACAGAACCTGAGAATCACTGCCACACCCCTGCCAAGACCGAGTAAGGTCGAATCTGCATTTGCATTTTTAAAATCAGTTTCGTGTTGCTGTGACGCCGTCTTTCTCGATGCTTGTTTGAACGTTGTTTGGAGAAGATTCTTTTAAAGCAGTGGGGAGGCGCAATGACAGTGGAGCCGCCATGAGAAGGTGATAAACATATGTGGACGTGCAAAAGTATGCTAGCACTCTTGAGGTGTGGAAACGACGCCAAATGTAGACAGCTTTTTTGAAGACAAGAAGGCTGGGACACCGGTGGGAAAGACAAATGCAGATTCGACCTAAGTGGCAGCCCTCACCCCATGTGAGTCAGGGGGGAGCCATAGCTAGAAGCACAAGCAGCAGCTGCTGCTGAGTGGGCTCCCCAAGCACTAGATAGAGCAGACACCGCAAGTGGCAGTCGCGGCAAGCAGGCAGCCCAAGCCCTGAACAGGCTGGGTACAGGAAGCAGTGGCGGGAGCCTCCCCTTTTTCTTTTTTCTCCCTCTGTCAGGGGACACAGCCATGAGTGGTTGGGGGCAGTGTTCCCTCTAAGCTGAGTTAGTGTGAGTTAGCTCACAGTTTTTCAGCCTCCGGCTCACACTTTTTTTTTGTCTCATCTCAGGAAGGAGGGCTCCAGAGCAAGCTAATTTATGCAGTAGCCCTATGGCTCGCTCACAACTTTAATGCCAGTCGCTCACAAAGTAGAATTTTTGTTCACAAGACCCCACAGCTTAGAGGGAACATTGGTTGGGGGTCCCCAACATGGGGCACTGGGCAGCTGCCCCTGCTCCCCGTTGGCTAACACTGACCCTGCGCTTATACCCCTATGTCGATGATTGCACTGTAAGCCCCGAACTTCTGGTTAGCATTAGACGAAGCCACAAGGGCTCAAGAAAAGAACTACTGTCTGATTCCAAGAGATCAGATACTTTGGACTCCTAGCAGGACTTACGACTGTTACCAGAGGCATACTGACCCCAGAGCATATGAAGGCATTTTCCTTTCCTTTCAATGAGTTCGGGATTTTACTTATTTATTTTGTTATAAATATATTACGTTTATGAAATCGCTCAGTCCCTACTCTTAAGAACATAAGAGAACATAAGAGACGCCAATGTTGGATCCGGCCAAAGGCCCATCCAGTCCAACACTCTGTATCACACAGTGGCCAGAAATACCAGGTGCCATCAGGAGGTCCAGCAGTGGGGCCAGGACACTAGAAGCCCCCCCCCACTGTTGCACCCCCCCCCAAGCACCAAGATGACAGAGCATCACTTGCCCCAGAGTCCCTATCTATACCTTGTGGCTAATAGCCACTGCTGGACCTCTGCTCCATATGCTTATCTAATTCCCTTTTGAAGCCGTCCATGCTTGTAGCCACCACCACTTCCTGTGGCAGTGAATTCCAAGAATTCCCTCTTGTACGGCTCTGGGCGATATACAACGTGGTAATAATTTTAAAACTATAAAATGGATACATACCGTATTACTATTAATACATTAATTTTTTTTAAAAAAAACCAAGCCGCGGAAATTTCCGTTTTCTCACATTTCCAGCCTGTGATCGCTTCATGGGTATGTGTGTGGGGGAGTAAAAAACAGTCTGAGGAGAAGGAGAATAGAAGGAGGAGGGTGCCGGCCAAGATGTAAACGATCGCTGCCCTCAACCAAAAGCCTGGGGGGACATCTCTGCCGTACAGGACCTACGGAATTGCATAAGATCCCACAGGGCCATGACGGCATTTGGCAGAGAGTTCTACCAGGTTGGGGCCAGAACTGAAAAGGCCCTGGCTGAGGACAGCCAGACGTCTTTAGGGCCGGGGATCACTAGCGGATTGTTATCTGAGGAGCGTAACGCTCTCCCGGGGACATATCAAAGGAGACAGTCCCACAGATAGGTTGGTCACTGACTGCTCAAGGCCTTGGACGTCAACACCAAAACCTTGACCTTGACTCGGTACTCAGGGGTCATTTAGTAGAAAAAGAGGTGCAGGAGCTCATTAGCATAACTCATTAGCATAACTCATTTGCATATGCCACACCCCCTGACATCGCCGGAAGTGTGTCAGAAGGCAGCACCCACCGCTCAGGCTCCACTGGGCTGTTTTGGATTGCTTGCTATTGGGGGCGGGGCGTGCAGATCTGTCCTCACAGAGGAGGGAGAGCTTGTACCTGAATAAAACTTGGTCTTAAAGGTGCCACTGGACTGTTTTGGGCTGGGGGGGGGCTCTGCAACTTACCTGGCTGCTTCTTGCTCTGACTGAGGGCTGCTGGGAGCAGGGGGTGGGGCTTGTTGCATGTGCCCGCCCCCTGGGCTCTTTACTGCCGGAGCTCCGCTCCTGTGCACTCCTGCAGGAAATGACCCCTGTCGGTACTCCACAGGAAGCCAGTGTAGCTGGCGCAGCACAGGTAATATATGTGCCATCCGTGACGTTCCCATCAGGACTGATGGACTGCACCTCTGACTTGATAATAGCACTTAACATTTATGCCCTTGAAACAGCTGATGTCCTAATAGCCCTTGTAATAAAAAGAGATATGGAAGAGGCCAATGATTGATTTGTTCACATGATGGAAGGGTATTTATTCTGTTCATGTACAGATATATCATTATTTCAGCATTGCTTTCAGGTGTAGAAGAGAAGCCCATCTAAGACTTGAATTAATTCTGGTATTTGAATAACAATGAATGTGTGCCTCAGCTAAGCACTGAGGAAGAGGTAGGGGAAATTACTGTGAAAATGTGAATTAGTTGAGCTACAGAATACCCCAAACGGAATAGTGTTCCCTTCTTTCAGTGCAGAAGAACAGAAGCTAGTAGAGGAGAGCAGCGGCTCATCTGATTTACAAGGACGAGTAAAGTTATCAAAGGGGTTTCCTTGGCATTTGGATCTATTATGATCAGGATTCTAGTCCACCCCTTGCCTTCCAAGACAAGCCAAAATTGAAATTCACAACACGATTCCTTGTCACAGAGATCAGTGCCTTCATTTCTTTTTCTCTTTCTAAGCAATTTTGCTACAGTGACCACTTGGACTACCTCCTTGTTCTAGCCTCTTTCACATGAGCAAAAGGACATGGTCTGGTGTGGTAATAATACATTCTTGGGGAAGTCTGGGGTAATGAGTCTGGTATTCTCTTTTGTGTTGCTAATATACCCCTACAATGCTGTGAGGTGCTGATAAAAAAATGAGCCAAAGTAAATTTGCAGAACTAAGCTATTTCTAATCTTTGATCGGATTATTTCTAAAGCTGTAGAAAAGAGCAGATTAATGGCAGTGTAGTAATTATATAGTTTGCTACCGCATGCTCCGTACAGTGAGGTGCTGGCTAGTATGAACACGATTGTAAATGCTCCAGTTTGCCATAAAATCCACACTTAAAAAAAAATCTGTTCTTTTTAATTTAGGCTGTTCTTCTGTGTCCATAAAGGCATATTATACGGTCCTAAATCAGCCAGGTTCTTAAAATATAATTTTAGGGACGGAGAGAAGGCCTAGTAAATTGTGCAGGATTGTTTACATTTGGTTCCTGTAATCTCTGGGCAGCATTCCATGTTACAAGGCACATTCCCACAACCAGTGATGGGTCTGCCATATAGCAAGTGGCCACTTTGGGCAGCAAAGAAGACTGGCAGAGGAAGAGATGAGGCCGAATGTGCTGGGAAGTTCTCTCATGCAAGCCCTGTAGACCTCCATTTCAATGACACTTGTGCAAGAACTTCCCAGTAAAATTGTGTCCTGTATTAATGAGAATAAGGAGGGTGTTCAGTTCAGTTTTCCATACTGAGAGCTGTCCTTTCCATATATCAGAAATTATCTTGATGGAAAACCCTGATTTCAAGGCATGGCCTGAAAGTACATGACACAGGAACCATGCAGGTCTGGGATGATCGGTGCTTGGAATATATTGGGGCACTCTGTGTATGCCTGTTGTATGGGAGGTAAGACAGGGTATAATGTGAATTAAACATTCTGAAAATACATTTTCAGATGTGGGAGTAATTTGAAGTATTCAGTAGCATGTAATACCATTCACCACCAGTATACAGTATGTTTCTGAATAAGACCCATTTGGGAATCTTCGAAGTGCTGAAATTAATAGGCCTTTGATATCTATCATCACTGTGCTTGCTAAGGTTGTGTGCCCAGTGCAGATCTGATGCATCATTGGTAGCATTCCAAATAAATAGTATCTAGGTAGCAGAAAGTGCACATTTGCACACCAAAATGGTTCTTTGCAAAGTTGCATTGAATTGCGGGGCACTTAAGCCAATTCTATCAATCCATCTTATAAGGCCTTTATATATTTTTTTGTCATCCTGCTGCTGGGTTTTGACAAGGATCATCTAAGATGCTCTCTGCTAGAGACTCCGCATTGAGAATGTGAAATTTTGTGTTTGTGTGTGTTGACTGACTGCACACACACACACACACACACACTTACAGTACAATTGTAAACAGAGTTACACCCTTCTAAGTCCCTTGAAGTCAGTAGGCTTAGAAAAATGTAACCATGCCTAGGACTGCACTGTTAGTGAGCCCCTTGTGCTGGCAAGTACCCTCTTCCACTGTTTTGTGTTTTAAAAAACTTGGTCTGAAGTGCTTCCCAGGAGGGAGCACATATCTCTGTGGCAAAGAAACAAGTTGAACTTGGATCAGTTTACATCTGCACACACTTACGAAGCCACTAAGGATAACAACTCTCCTCCCGTTCCTCCACAGCCATTCTAAGTGAGCTGCTGCAGAGGGAAAACAGAGTTCTTCATTTCTGGACGTTGAAGAAGCGGAGATTAGATCAGTGCCAGCAGTACGTGGTCTTTGAGCGTAGTGCTAAGCAGGTAACTTAAGACACTCCCATCTCTTCTTCATTGCTGGTTAGGGCTGATGGATAATGAGAGACTGCTTAATAGATCACTTGAGGGCAGGGGTCGTTTCGTAGAAAAAGAGGCACAGGAGCTCATTAGCATAACTTATTTGCATATGCCACACCCCCTGACATCACCGGAAGTGTGTCAGAAGGCAACACCCACCGCTCAGGCTCCACTGGACTGTTTTGGATTGCTAGCTATTGGGGGGGACGGACGTGCAGATCTGTCCTCGCAGAGGAGGAAGAGCTTGTACCTGAATAAAACCTGGTCTTAAATGGTGCCACTGGACTGTTTTGGACCAGGGGGCTGGGGGGAGTTCTGCAGCTTACCTGGCTGCTTCTTGCTCTGACTGAAGGCTACTAGGAGCAGGGGGTGGGGCTTGTTGCATGTGCCTGCCCCCTGGGCTATTTACTGCCGCTGTGTGCTCCTGCAGGAAATGACCCCTGCTTGAGGGAAAGGATTATAGGTCAGGGAGTGCAAGTGTTACTTGATGACTTCCAACATTCAAATCTTTTTTCATCAGCCAAGGCTGCAGAAGCCCCTGGAGAGTGATTTTCAAGTCCTTATGTTAGAACTGACACTGTGGGTTGATTTAGTAGTATAGAAATAGCCAGATTGCAATCTGGACATCACACTTAAGTTTCAACAATGCACATGAAGCAGAAGTCCTTGCTGATATCCCTCCTATTCCGTGCTTTCCTGATACCTGAAGCTAACTCTCTTCTGTCATAAGCTCTTTCAGTAGATGTGGAAGGAAATTCCAGTGGGGTAGCTGTGTTACAGTGCATTTACAGTGGGATCCTAAGCAGAGGTACCCCCCTTCTAAGCCCGTGGACATCAATAGGGTGTAACTCTGCTTAAGTCAGCATTAGTAGTTGCACCAACACAAAAAGTCTTGTGGCTCTATAATGACAAACAAATTGATTGTAGCATAATCTGTTGTGGGGTTCTGCCCAGTTTGTCACATAGTGGTTTTGCTATGATGAATTATGCAGCTTGTGTTGTAAAACATTTGTTGGTCCTTAAGTTTCCCAAGACTCTTTTATATCAGGTGGGGGAGGAGACCCATGAAAGAATAGGGTGAAAAGGGCAGCAGTGGCAGCTTCTCCCAGTGCACTAGTATTGTTTAAGGTAAAAGTGTGATATCTGGATTACAACTTGACAGCGCTCTTGATTATAGGATGACCTCTTTTTCTCTTTGAATGTACAGGGGATATATATCCAACAGCAGAGTTTCCCAGGCTTCCGTTTAGACTAGGCCAGTGAAATTATGCAAAGCAACTTGGAGGAAAGTCATATACCTCAGCTCACCCCTGCCCCCTCCTCCCCATGCTCACATTGAAAACTGATTGGAATGCTTTGGAGAGCCCATTCCCAGTACCCATTAGTCATGGGAACTGACTAGGCCAGTGTAGGCTGAAAAACCCATCTGCTGCAGAAGAGAGGATGTGACAGCACTTTTGCATACTTTCTGCAGAAGTATATGTGTGATGGTTTAAGGCTGTTCACTGTGACCGATTTCACACAAGAGCTGCGCCGCGGTCACGCCTCCCTTTGCCCTGCTTCTATTGGTCCACTTCTCACTCGAAGCCGTGGCTTCGCCCAATTTTCCCTCGGTTTTGTGATCCTGTTTTTTGAGGATCACGAAACCGTGGGGGAAATCGGGCGAAGCCGTGGGTCAAAATGTGGCCGCGCAGCTTTGGGTAGGAAATTGACAGATAGAAGCGGGGCAAAGGGAGGCACGACCGTGGCACAGCTCTTGTGTGGAATCGGTGCATGAGTCCCCACATACTATATCGTCATTTGCTTGATTTCAGTACTTTGTAAGGTTTATATTTGGGACTCTTCCACTATGTTTTTTTCTCAAACAGATCATCCTCCAGAATTGCTCTAAAATTTAAATTTTCTATTTTGAAACATGTCCATGGAAACTTGTAACCTAGACACAAACAACCTTTTTTTCCCCTCTTCCTTTTTGTTGTTGTTTGGTGCTTACTCACCTACAGGCCTTAGACTGGATCCAAGAAACAGGAGAGTATTATCTCTCTACTCATAACTCCACAGGGGAATCAGCAGAGGAAACTCAGGAACTTCTGAAAGAATATGGGGAATTCAAAGTACCTGCCAAGGTAAACCTTTCTTTTCATTCAAAAGGATCATGAGTGGTGTTCCCTCTAAGCTGAGTTAGTGTGAGCTAGCTCACAGTTTTTTAGCCTCCAGCTCACAGATTTTTGTCTTTGCTCAGGAAGGATAGCTCCAGAGCAAACTAATTTATGCAGTAGACAAATCGTACGCTCACAACTTTAATGCCTTTGGCTCACAAAGTAGAATTTTTGCTCACAAGACTCAATAGCTTGGAGGGAACATGAGCTTTAGTGATACATTTTGCAGGGATCTAAACATAATTAGAAATTGCTGTCAAGAGCCCTGACCTAGACTAATTTTTTTAGTTTAATAAGAAGGGGAGGGGCTGTGGCTCAGTGGAAGGGCATCTGCTTTGCATATACAAGGTCCCAGGTTCAATCCCTAGCACCCCCAGTTAAAAGAATTGGGTAATAAGTGATGTAGAAGACCTCTGCCTGGAGATCCAGTGTCAGTCTGAGTGTACCATGCTGACCTTGATAGACCAACTCAATATAGGGCAGCTTCATGTGTTCATGTTCAACAAAACAGCAAACTTTATATGAACCAGCTAAAGGCAAGAGACTGTCATGTCTTTTAAATATTGTGGCAGTGAAGTCTTGCATTGACCTCTCCATGGTACTGTAGAACCCATGATGCAGCAGCCTTTAGGCTATGCAGGTAATGGGTTTGGTCAATGCTTGGGTGGTAGGCTTCTTAAAAATTCTCTATAAGTTGCATTGAGTTCCGTGATGGGAGGAAAGCAAGATTTCAGTGCAATAAATAAATAAATAATGAGTTGGGAGGAGTCAGTTATTCAAGTCACATGAGTATTTGGATTACATGTGTTATTTAAATGTGCCTTGTACTATTAAATAATTTTAGGGAAGGAAATGCTTAGTGGCTCTGAGAGCTAAACGTATCTCACTTGTTTTGGGTTCTGTAGTTGAGATCTGAAGAGTTACTTAGGATAATAGAAGATGCTTGTGCTAACATTGTGGAATTTCTGGCACTTTGTCCTTTGAAAGTTCCCCACATTCCACATCATAAACTGCTTCTGAAACTGGTCAGTTCTAAAAGAAGCTTGCCATGTGGTATGGGGTGCAGATTGTTGAGATATATAAGTGTAAAGCTCCCTTGGCCTTGCATTAGTGAGTTTTACAGTTCTTTGGATATAAGCCAGAGAATGTACGTATTTAAAAGGAGCTACAGAATTTCATAATCCTATGAAAATTCTGTCCTACTCTCTCAGATTTGATGCACAGATCAGTGCCCTGTGTGCCCCCGGGGCCGAATAAAGAGCACACGGTTGGAGTTCAGGGAGTGGATAAATATCTGTTTATTGCAATAATCAGGAGGATACAGGACTGGATACCTTGGCACCCAGTAACACCAAGCTGTATTCTGCCCCAACCAGGAAGGGCAGTAGATCTTATACCCCAAATGACATCATTACACTTTATAAGGACAAAAAAGGGGGGGGGAGACTGAACCTAAAACCTAGAATTCATAACCTATAAAGGTTAGTCAAGAATAGAAGAGGGCCAACTCTTAAAATCTAATTATGAAACCTAAAAAATATACATGTATTTATTAAACACAAATTAAAATAACGAATAAGGGCCCATTCATACCTCATATACAAATATAAAAACATACAAAGGCTGATGAAATAGACCTAACGCATTTCGGCCTTTACAGGCCTTCCTCAGAGGTCTAATACAAAAATACAAATACAGCCTCCAGTGCAATCACATGTCCAGTAGTACTTCTCTCTGGTCAACCTAATTTTCTCCTGAGCTTGTACAGCCAAATGTTCCCAATGAAATGTTTCTTAACCCCAAATGACATCATTACACTTTATATATTAAGAAATCTTTAATTGGTGTCCAACAGGTCTCGTCATCAAAGCATCAATTGAGCTGGCACTTCTCTATTGGCAAGCTGCTATCTGGATCAGAATTACAAGCCTTCACGTTTTCTTATCTGGTCATGGAAGACAAGGGGGGCTTTGGGGAACACTGAGGTCTTATTTTTTTGCATCATTCCTGGCTTATTTGCTTCAGCCTGGAGCTAGGGAGTTTTCTGATAAGGCACATGAAACTTAGCTCTGGGCAGACTCAGTGGGGCCAGATGCTCTATTCTACACAGAAAGTTATTTGTTTAGAGAACACTAACTTCTCTTCTGAAGTGTCCTTCAGCTGAGGAACTTGTAACTTCAAAACATACATTACATTCCACTATTTTCTGAATCTATCTAAAAGCAGAACCTTTGACAATTAAAAATACTCTAATTACTTCTATTCTAAATCTCTTCTGCTTGGGCTAAATACTAAAAATCAAACTTAATAAAGCACAATGACAGCTGGCATTATACATGTCAAGAGAAATGTCAGAACTCACAATCATAAATCACATTCACTGGTCCCTTGTCCTACAGATTCAAGCATGTCTCTTTTTGCTGCCGAAATCTGCACTCTCTCAGCATATTTTCTCTTCTTGCCAGTTCGCAGCCTCCTAAACAACAACAAGTAGAACAATATCTCTGAAAGTATAACAAAGTATATCCAAAGAGGTGTACATAAGCAAGGCAGCAGTGTCACTCCTTGCTTATGCTTCCATTTTCCTATGTTTCTTATTGTATCAGAAACATCTGAAGAACTGGGCTGTGGTCCACATAAATGTATAGTGGAATAAAATGTTTCTCGGGGCTAGGCCCCTATGAGATTCCTGTTTATTATTAAACAGGCAGGAGCCAGTTTGATGTAGTGGTTAAGTGCACGGACTCTAATCTGGGAGAACCGGGTTTGATTCTCCACTTGCACCTGGCTGGATGACCTTGGGCAAGCCATAATTCTGGCACAGCTGTTCTTGAAAAAGAGCAGTTTCTGTCAAGAGCTCTCTCAGCCCAACCTACCTTACAGGGTGTCTGTTGTGGGGAGGGGAAAGGAAAGGAGTTTGTAAGCCGCTCTGAGATACCTTTGGGTAGTGAAGGGTGGGGTATAAATCCAATCTCCTCCTCCTCCTCTTCTTCTTCTTCTTCTTCTTCTTCTTCTTCTTCTTCTTCTTCTTCTTCTTCTTCTTCTTCTTCTTCTTCTTCTTCTTCTTCTTCTTCTTCTTCTACGATTCTATAAGATATTGCTAAATATGAATGATAAATTCCATTGAGCAGCACTGAAAATCAATGGAAACTCTGGTCTTTGACAAATGTAAAATTTTATCATTATCTTAAACTGTGCTAAAGGTAGTGTAGATCATGGTCATGTAAGGTCTATTTCAATTTATTTTTGTTTTGTATAGTTATACCTGGTAGAGAACAAGAAAATTCCAAAGTGTGCGGTGTTTTAGATAGCTTGTTTAAAAACATGTATTCCACCTACACTGTCTCCAAAGATCTCAGAGACTTTTTATAACAGTGATGTTGGTGAAGAGCATGAGGTCCAAAAGGCTGAAATGGAATGTAAACAGAAACATGTTCATAGAAGAAATGATAACTAAGCACAGGCCCATAGCTACAGTGGGGCATCTCGGGGCTAGGCCCCCCTGACTTACTGGCAAGGCCCCCTGACTTCCCATCCAGCCCAGGACCCCCAAGCTGTAGCAGGTGCAGGGAAGGAGATGGATATTTCTTTAATTCGATTAGCCAGTGCCCCCTAAGAAATTTAAATGCCCCCTGACTTAAAAAATCCTGCCTACGGGCCTGACTAAGCAACACTCTTTTTTTGGCAGCAAACCAAGGAGAAAGTGAAGCTTCTCATTCAGCTGGCTGATAGCTTTGTAGAGAAAGGACATACTCATGCCACTGAAATTAGAAAATGGGTTACCACCGTGGACAAACGCTATCGGGACTTCTCGTTGAGAATGGGGAAATATCGCTACTCTTTGGAGAAAGCTCTTGGAATCAATACAGAGGTACTGTAAGTCACATGTTTTGTTGACATACCTTAAACAAACAAGAACTCTGAGGAGAAGTAGTATTGTCAGATATGAGAAAACGTTTATGTGTGATGTACCCAACTACGGCTTGCCTTTACAAGTAGGCCACCCAGCATGGATTTTTTTGACATAAGATTTGAGTAAATGCAAGACAATTTAACGTTCTCAAATATAAATTCATGGCCGTCATTCATTCCTGTCAAGAATAGTAATGTTCTGCAGTTGGAGGCAACATTGTGGATGTGGCACACCTGCCTACCACCTCTGACATTAGGTGACTGAAGGACAACATAGCAAAAAAAATCATTGTGAGGGAATCAATGTAGAATAGCCACAACAGAAGTTTTAATGCTGTGATTTTCATGGTTCGTTTTTATTATATTTTATTTACACTGTACTAGTGGTTAAGACGCTGAACTGCAGGCTGTGGAAGGTCGGTAGTTCAGCAGTTCGAGACCCAAGTGTGCCGCATGACAGAGTGAGCTCCCGTCTCTAGTTCCAGCTCCTATCAACCTAGCAGTTCGAAAGCAAGAAATTGCAAGTAGATAAATAGGTACCACTTCGGTGGGAAGGTAACAGCGTTCCGTGTACCTTGGTGTTTAGTCATGCCGGCCACATGACCACGGAAACGTCTTCGGACAGCGCTGGCTCTTCGGTTTTGAAACGGAGATGAGCACTGCAGCCCTAGAGTCGGATTTGACTGGCTTTCGAGCAAGGGAACCTTTACCTTTACTTTTCTTGTGTACCACCTCAAACAAAGAAATGAACGCATAAGTGCAGACAGCCCCATATATTTTTGTAAAGTTAATTAGTTGAATTAAATATTCATAAAATAAAATGTATTTATATAAAATTTTAAAATAAAGACTGAGTCCTTCCAATTTATCTGGAACCTTTTCACATTGGCTAGAACACGAGAAGGCAGCACCTGGTTTATCACTTGTTATACAAATAGAGGAATTTCACATTACCCTTTTTAACCCGTTTTGAAGTTGTTTTTGATCCGTCATGGAGTAAACCAGTATAGGGCTTCCATTTCACACATGGCTTTCTCCATCCGGTAAAGAGCTGGATCTGAAGCGGTTTGCCATTTCAGACTGCACCGCTTTTTCCCACTTTCCCCAAAAAAAGCTGGAGATCGCCCACGCGGGCAAAAAATGGCAGGAAAAAGCGCATCGGAACCGGAGAGGAAACTGAAGACTACTTGGAAGTGGTTGACAGGTAAAATGCTTCAGCCCCATTTCCTAAATGGGACAGAAGCATTTGTGTCTGAAATTACAAATATATTCCGGTAGGGAACCGGTTCTAAAACAGTTCTGTCTGAAATGAAAGACCAGAAACCGTTTGGGAGCCATTCCTCTTCCGGATTATATCGTCTGTCTGAAATTCCTCATAGTTTCCCAGTCAAAAAAGAAGAAGTCAAAATGAGGAGGAAGGTTCATAGTGTTTTAATTGCAATCAAGACACCTGAAAACAGTGAGGCCGAACCAGCCTATCAAAAATTGACTGCTTTCTGAACACAATCAGGAAGTACATGAAATTTTATACTTGAAATGACATTATCATGAAGATAACATTCAAAAATCATAATTGGTTACAAAGGACAGTGCATCATTTGAGTAATAGTCCACTCATTGGTCAAATATGAAGAAAGGTGTGCCTACATAATATCTTAAAATGTTTATTTAACCTAACCTGAATAATATTGGCCAAGGATTCGTCATGCCCAAACAAAGGTGGTTTTTTTCTGATACAAAGCTAAAATCACTTTTGACCCAGACACTGCAAAGTTTTACCCTAAACAACTAAAAACCACAAACTCTATACCTATCTTCTATACCAAAATAATGTTGTTTTCTTGTCTGCTAGCATCAGCTAGAAAATCAATCTAACCTACAAGAGAAAGTCCTACTATTTAGTAGGCCTTCTTCATATCCTAATAAAATAAAATCTTACTTAGGAGAAAAATCTATAAAACCAAGAAAATATGAATAATCAGAAAGAAAAAAATATTTATATTCCCATACATACTACACAGTTGAGCAGAATAATGGATTTGAACCTGCCAATAATTTCTGCTGATGTAAAAAAGGAGGATTTTCACCAATTCACCCCTTATTCTGTTCCTGGGGGGGGGGTCCTCTGTCCCCTGGAGCAGCATTTTGGGGTGTTAGAGAAGTCTTACTCCACTGCTGGAAATCCCTTTAATCAGCAGAGATTTTTATTGGGATCCCAGCCTCTGTCTCTTTTTTTCTTTATATTTCCACAAGTAAAAAGGCTAGATATTTATTTATTAGCTGCAGGGTTTTTTGGATGACACCTCCACATTAGATCACTTCCAGTCCAGCTTCCAACCAGCCGTGGGACAGAGACAGCACTGGTCACCCTCACGAATGACCTTTGGAGACTTCTGGATCAGGGCAGTTCGGTGGTGTTGTTGTTCTTGGACATGTCGGTAGTGTTTGACATGGTCGATTACCATCTACTGATCCACAACCTTACCGACACTGGGATTCAGGGGTCTGCCTTGCAGTGACTCTCCTCATTCCTTCAGGGTCAGGGACAAAGGGTGGCCATTAGGGAACAGCTGTTTCAAAGGTACCCGCTAGGAGTGCCCCAAAGAGCGGTGCTTTCCCCGATGTTATTCGACATCTATATGCGCCCCCTTGCCCAGATTGCCTGGAAGCATGGACTGGGATGTCACCAATATGTGGATGACATCCAGCTCTATTTGTTGTTGGGCGGCCAGTCTGACTCTAGCCTGGAAGATCTGGACCTGGCATTAAAAGCTATGGCTGGTTGGCTTAGACTGAGTCGACTGAAATGAATCCCACAGAGATCCTGTGCCTGAGTCAGAGCGGTCTCAACCTTTGATGGGGTGTCGTTGGCACCAGCACTGGAGGTTAGGAGTTTGGGAGTGCTCCTGGATGCCTCCTTAACAATGGGGGCCCAGGTAGCAGCCACTGTGAAGTCAGCCTTTTATCACCTTCAGCTGATCAGGCAGTTGGTTCCCTTCCTTGAACACAATGACCTGGCAACAGTGATCCATGCAATGGTCACTTCAAGACTGGATTAATGTAATGCTCTCTACATGGGGCTGCCCTTGTCCCAAATCCGGAAGCTGCAGCTGGAGCAGAACACAATGGCCAGGCTGCTGTTGGGCCTCCCTATGCAGGAGCACATCCAGCCTGTGCTAAAAGCACTGCACTGGCTGCCTCTAGCATACCAAGTACCAAATTTGGTTCAAGGTTATGTATGGAACTGAATGTATGAATGTATGAGCTTGAGTCCAAACAAGGTATTGTAAACCGGCCTATCAGAACAAGGGAAGTTCTGGAGGGAAGCAAAGTGATTGGTCTTTATGTACAGTTTCTGATTGGACCTTAGCTGACATGTGGGGTTGGCTTTCTCAGCCTCGAGCTGTTTGCACAGACACCTGTTGCTCCATTGTTTGTCTCATTCTGGTTCTTCTGTCTTCGTGTTCAACAAAGCTGTTATCACTGTTCACCTGCTGCCTCGAGTCTCGTATCTAACATAGGTGTTGGTTCCTACCTTTAAAGCCCTATATGGTCAGGGGCCTACATACCTAAGGGACCACCTTTCTCCACCTGTTCCCCAGAGAGCACTATGATTGGGGTCCCAAAATCGTTTGGCCTTTCCGTGCCCCAGAGAAGCCAGCCTGGCTGTGACAAGGGCCAGGGCCTTCTCAGTGGTGGCTTTGTACTGGTGGCATGAGCTCCCAGAGGACATCAGGGCCCTGCGGGACTTTTTACAGTTCCACAGGGCCTGCATGATGGAGCTCTTATCCAGGCCTCCAGTTAGGAAGCTGCACCTAATAAACTGAGGCCCTGGCCCCAATATTAACATCATTACTAACAGCCTGATACAACCCAGACTATGACGTTAGCTGACTGTATGCCATTGGATGCTGCTAACGCCTGCCATCGTGATACGAACGGCACTAGCACTTTGTACTTTGTTATGTTTTATAATAGTTGTGTCAGGATTCAGGTCAGCCCCAGGCGCCGTATAACCCGTCGCCGTGTTGGGATCTTCCAAGTCGGAAACGAACACCTCAGAATTAGACGAGTGGGGGTGTTTCTTCACACCCCTCGCCTCGTCCTCAGCAGAATCGGCTATATCGGCTCACACTCTCTCTGTGCCTCTGTGCCTTTCACCTCCGATTCTCTGAACTTCCTCCCCGGTGTTCTTCGTTTCCTTCTTTTTATTGCTTATTACAGTGATCCAAAACACCCTGTGATTCTCCCAAGCTTATACCCCAATCAACCTCCCTGCTGCACATGTCTTCCCTCTCCTTCTCAGAGCATTGTTTTTGCCCTTTAACTCTCTGAGGCTCCGGGGGCCTTGCGGAAGCGTCTGCCACCCCCGCCCCGTCTCGTTGGGGCTTCGGCACATAGTTGCCCCCTTCCCCACGGTCGCTCCCACGGCTCCGTCCCATGTCCAAGGCTGTCAAAGAGCTCGGCGCGGGGCACGCCAGTCCCACCACAGCGGCCGATAGGGCCGCGGAAGAACCCGCAGCGGGACAAGTTGTTTTATACATTCTATGTAAGCTGCCCTGAGCCTGCCTCAGCAGGGAGGGCGAGATATAAATTATTAAATATGTCCTTGGGCCTCCGTGGTTCCCTCCTATGGCATTAGCACCACATTTGGGAAGCAGTGCCATTCTTAAAATAAGTTCTAAGGCTGAAAGGGAAAAGAAAGTGGTGAGTGAGTTGGTGGAGATTGGAAGGGATTAGAATTCTGTAGTCTTCTCCGTCCATTGCCCGTCAAATCTGATGCCCTTTAGTTAGCCATTAACTACTATAGGTGCAGCTCATCCTTTTTTCGTCTCCCACCCACCTCTCACTGTTGGCATTCTTTTCATCTCTTCCGCTTTGTAAATCTGCTGAGTTTTACAAAGCAAAGGAATGTGTTTAAAATCCATGTCGCTATCTTTTTCAGGATAATAAGGACCTGGAGTTGGACATCATTCCAGCAAGTCTGTCAGATCGTGAGGTGAAGCTACGCGATGCCAATCACGAGGCTAATGAAGAAAAAAGGAAGTCAGCCAGAAAGAAAGAGTAAGTGGTGAGAAGCAGGTGCCTCAACATCCTATTGCATGAATGGCAAACAGCCCTGGCTTCAACTTGACAAGCCCCCCTGTTTGTGGGGTGGGTGAGATGTCACGTTTAATACATTGGTACGGGTTGCTGCACACCTTGGATAGAAATAAGACTGTGTGGTTGCAGTGGTTACAAAGAGTCTTGGCTGAGAATCCACTTCTGATTAATTAAAAACATAACTATATTGCTGGCTGTTACATATTTGGTAGTAATGAGTGACAGATGCTCTTGGGAAAAAAGTATTCAGAGTACAAGACAATTGCTTTTATGGATATTTGTCAACAATGATGTCTGTTATACGTTTGCTACTAAGGAATCCCAGTTCTGACAACTTTTTCTGAGGGTCAATTTACCTTTAAGTGATTGGTAGGGTTCTGATTTATCCTGGGAAGGTACGAATTAAGGTTTTTTTACCTAATTTATCTATTTCCCTTGGCTTTGCATGCAAATACCTCACTGATACATTATAGTCAGTATTTACTAAATTGATCGGTAGGAAGGGAATTTGGTTAATATGAAAAGTATTAAGGTGTGTGTGTGTGTGTGTGAAAATACGCATTATGAGTTTATATATGTTTATAACAAGTTGTAACACAAAGTGATCTGCAGTGTAGAACTGTCTGTCTGTATGACTATTGGATTGGATCATGTGCAGAATTTCCATGGATAGAAAGGGGAGAAATTTTCATTCATTTCTTCTGTTACTCCTTGCATTGGCCTCAGACCAGGGCTCCTTTACACTTACAGTCATAGAATCATTGACTTAGAAGGGACTTCCAGGGTCATCTAGCCCAACCCCCTGCACAATGCAGGAAATACACAAATACCTCCCCCTCCACAAAATTCCTGAGCCAAAGATATATGTGGAAATTGTGGATTCAGGTCATTATAGTGATTTCCCAGAATGGAAATACAAACTTGGGATTCTTGAGAATTATGAACTCCCCTTCTTCCAAAAAATCTGTGAGTTGTTTATGTTTGCAAGTTCAGCTGCTTACCAGCAATGCAGTATGTGCTTGTGTTTTTCTTTGAGTCTACTTATTTCCCAGGCAATGGCATTTCTTCCTTCATATTCTTGGAGATCCCAGCCAATCACCTTTAAAGACAAACTGCAGAGAGCTGCAGTTGTCCTTCCCTCTTTCATTTGTGAGAGAGGGTTCCTTTTTTGTTTTGCAAGTACAATGGCCAAGGGCACCTTGATCAGGGTCCTGTAGAACTAAACCACTTAGTTCAATTTGCTCAAAACCTGGTGGGTTCTTAGTGGACAGACAGCACTAGCAGCACTGCAAATTTGGTGTCATTTGGTTGTCAAATCTGGTGTCAACAACTATTCCAGCCGCCCCCCCAAGTCCCCCATAGGGAATAATTGCAGAGCTCCTATTCTCTTCTGTTCCCTCCTTTATCACTGTGCAAGGAAACAAACAACAGACCATACCAAGGAAGGATGAAAAGTTTTCTGTAGAAAGTTTTTAAAAATGTCAGTCATTCACTGTAAAAGGGATTTTGCTTTATGATGGTGGCCAGCACCATTCCCCCCCGGAAGAATTAGTGAAGGTAAGCATACTTTCACTTAGAGGTGCCTGCTTTGGACCCCAGGGACCAGTTTGCTTGAAACTTGAGGGGGGATCAGATTAGAAGGAGGACTGTGTTCTGTGCAAACTTGGCACCATTATCTTTATAAAGAGCTGCCCCAGACCTTCCAATAGATTCCCATTGAAAGTGATGTTCCTGAACCTCCAGAGCCCAAACAAACCATATGGATTTGAATGCTGAAACAGTAATGCCCTAAAATAAAGGTAAAGGTTTCCCTTGCTTGAAAGCTAGTCGAATCCGGCTCTAGGGGTTGGTGCTCATCTCTGTTTCCAAGCCAAGGAGTCAGCGCTGTCCAAAGACATGTGGTCAGCTAGCCAGCATGACTAAACACCGAGGTGCATGGAACGCCCTACACAAACATAAAAATGGCATAATTTTTCCACTATAACCCCAGATATGAAAGTATAACAAAATTTTGTTGGAAAACATTCTTAATTGTAATATGTGAAATGGTTTTATGTTTATAATCATTGTATTACTTTTCTAATATATACACATACATATGGATATCCTGTATAGCATTTCAAATATTTTTTCCTTATTAATACTATATATGATTGAGCAAAGAAATTTAGTATTTTGTATGGGTAAATTTTATATACACATTGACTTAAAGGCCTTTCTTCTCTTAGATTCATCATGGCTGAACTGCTTCAGACTGAGAAGGCATATGTCAGGGATTTACATGAATGTTTAGAGGTATGTTGCCTCATGTAAGGAATGGAGTGTTCCTTGAAATATATTTCTCATGCCTAGTAGTCATTTTAAAACTTGTTGTAAATTCCTATGGCTTTACCAGTAGTTCAGACCTTAAAGGCAATTGTAATGCAGTAGCGTGGCCTTTATTTCCAGGAGAATACGAACTGGTCAGGACATTACAACATGTGAGGCCCATTGTGGAAATTATCTGTGCTGCTGAAGCTACCATTGTTCCCTGGCATCCAATGGAGAAAGACCTAGTGCATGTTGTATAAAAAGGTAAAGGTTCCCTTGCTTGAAAGCCAGTCGAATCCGACTGTAGGGTTGCGGTGCTCATCTCCGTTTCAAAGCCGAAGAGCCAGCACTGTCTGAAGACGTTTCCATGGTCATGTGGCCGGCATGACTAAACACCAAGGCGCACGGAACGCTGTTACCTTCCCACTGAAGTGGTACCTATTTATCTACTTGCAATTTATTGCTTTCAAACTGCTAGGTTGGAGCTGCGGTGGCTCAAGTGGTTAAGACGCTGAACTGCAGGCTGTGAAAGGTCAGTAGTTCAGCAGTTCGAGACCTGAGTTGCCGCATGACGGAGTGAGCTCCCGTCTCTAGTTCCAGCTCCTGCCAACCTAGCATGTTGTATATACCCTAAGAATCTACATATGCACAAACATATTGAGTTCCATACGGGCAAAATAGCATGGATGCAGGTGAGGTTTGTGTATTACATTTTTAGTAGGTATGGAGGAATTTGAGTAAATCCTGGGGCTGTTGTGCCTAAGACAAAAGAACAACACTCTGGCTGGACCTCAGAAAAAGGGAATGCATGGCAAAACAAAGCACCCATAGACACTGAACAAGTGAACTCACTTGACTGACTGAAGTTGTTTCCGAGAAGCACAATGGGGAATTCAGTGAAAGAGCAAAGTATGCAAATTTTGTTTGTTTATTTGTTTTGCTTGCAGACACCTAAATGTCATCACTTTGGATGTGCTGAGATTTTTCTTGTCAATCAAGCACCCAAAGTCTTTTGTTTCTGTTTTTCATTTTGATTTATACTTTAGAACCTTACATTTCTCTTGTCACTCTATTTTGGCAAGAAAACAGGGAAAACAGGGAAAAATATTTTTCTGTTGTCTACCCTGTGTTTAAAAACTGCTCTTGTCTTCCAGACATACCTTTGGGAGATGACAAGTGGAGTGGAAGAGATACCCCCAGGGATTCTTAACAAAGAACACATAATTTTTGGCAACATCCAGGAGATTTATGACTTTCATAACAAGTAAGTTTTCTTGAATATTTCAGAAAGGTTCACATATATAAGCACATCCTGTTCTTTAGAACCACAGAACATGTGCCAAGAGAAGGCCTGTCACATTCAAGGCTAAGTATGGTGCTATTGTTCTACCCAGGGTTTCTGGGATACACAAATACAAAGACAAAAATATGGAAAGACACAGGAGCAAGGTCAGGTATCCGAAGGTTCAGTGCAAGGGTCAGAGTAGGAGAGTCAAGGGTCCAGTTCCAAGGTTTCAGAAAAGGTGCAGGATACAGGGGTCTGGGTTCCAGGCTTAAGGAGCAAGCACAGATTAGACAAGGTACAACCCAGCAGGGTCAAGGTAAAATTCTGTTTGCTGAGCAGGTCAGAGGGGTGGCAAGCAAGGTTGCTTCTATACCAAGACTTGCACGGTGTGTTCCTTTTACTTGCCTCTTTTGCTGACTCATCCCCTGATGTCTAGGTGTCTCTCATTACAGTTGCATTCACCTTCCTACAGTTGCATGTCTTTTACTGTTTCCCTATTGGCCTGTCAGTCCTGGTCCTCCAAAGACTCTGCTCTAGGAATAAACACTGATTGTTGCTGAGCAACTAGACAAGCACTTCATTGTTTCTCCTGAGCTATCAAGCAGTCTCTGCTTCTTCTGCACTCTGCTGGCTCAGGAGAGGCTGGTGGGGATTCCGGCCTCTGTGACCTCTCTTTCTTCTCTTGGAAGAACAAGTAGCCCAGCTGTGACTGGAAAGCAGTCTTGCTTCCTGATCCTTCCCCCATTGGTTCTGCCGCTGTATCTGACCTCTGAGGTGGGGATTCTGTCAGAGTGGGGTCCAATTATGATTCTTCCAGTTCCTCTGAGGAAGAGGAAGAGGTGGCAGCTGGCCGGCCCACGGCAGGGTCAAAGTATGTGGCAGAGAGGAGAATTGTGTGGTAGATGTCAGGGGTGTGCAATTTTTTTTAACCAGTATTTTTTTGGTTCGGGTCTATTGGAACTGGAAGAGTTTTGGGATTCCCGAAAAATCCCAGATCCAAATACCAGTATGGTATTCAGATCCGGGATTTTTTGAAAATCCCCAAATTCATTGGGTCCAATAGAACTGGAAAATGCCGGTAAAGAAAAAAATACCAGCCTGATCCTGGGGTTGGGTTGGCTTCTCCTGCAACCCAGTTTAAACGGAGCTGCAGGAAAATGCAGCACAGAGCTGTGCCAGCAGTGAGTGATTGGCTCCTCATGGACACAGCCAATGACTGAATACTCTGGTTTACACCGGTCGGCAAGAGAAGGCAGCGCAGAGCTGCACATGCAGGGAGCTGTCAGCTCCCCAGAGGCACGGGGATCCTGGCTGGGCTGTCCTCTCCTGCCCCCCAGTTTAAACTGGGCAGCAGGAGAAGACAGCGCACAGCTGTGCCAGCAGGGAGAAGAAGAAGAAGAGAAGAGATTGGATTTATACCCCGCCCTTCACTACCCAAAGGTGTCTCAGAGCGGCTTACAAACTCCTTTCCCTTCCCCTCCCCACAACAGACACCCTGTGAGGTAGATGGGGCTGAGAGAGCTCTGACAGAAACTGCTCTTTTTCAAGAACAGCTGTGCCAGAACTACGGCTTGCCCAAGGTCATCCAGACAGGTGCAAGTGGAGGAGTGGGGAATCAAACCCGGTTCTCCCAGATTAGAGTCTGCGCACTTAACCACTACACCAAACTGGCTCTCAACTCTCACCTCCCCACCGACCCAGCTGATCTTGGGCCGGCTTCTCTTGCAGCCTGGTTTAAACTGGCTGCAAGAGAAGCCAGCCACAACCAAGGTGGCAGGGGGCTCTCAGCTCCCCGCCACCCTGGCTGATCGTTGGGCTGCAGTCCCTTTAAAGTTTAAAAATACTACATAATCTGCCTAACAAACAGCTCCTGCCTCGCCGCTGTTTTCAGATCTACCCAAAATACTCAAATATATCCAGGATTTTCTTCGAACATTTTTTTCAGGTTTCCTGAGAAAACCCAGATACATTTAGGTATATTTTCAGCTTGGGTAGATCCAAATGCACATGCCTAATGTCAGTCTTAGAAAGGTTTCTTTGGGCTAGCCTACATGTTAACTTATACAGGAGGGAGACAGCTTCTATGTTTTGATTTCACTGCCCGGAAGTAACATTTATTTTAAATTTTATTTTATTACACAGAGGTAACATTTGATGTGGTTTGCCATGTTGATCCTCCCACAGTGCAATCCTAAACAGAGTTATACCATTATAAGAAAGTTGTTGTTAGGATTGCACAGATATGTCAAGCAGTGTTCCCTCTAAGCTGAGTTAGTGTGAGCTAGCTCACAGTTTTTTAGCCTCAGACTCACATTTTTGTCTCAGCTCAGGAAGGATGGCTCCAGAGTGCACTAATTGATGCAGTAGCCAAATCGCTCGCTCACAACTTTCATGCCAGTCGCTCACCAAGTAGAAGTTTTGCTCACAAGACTCCACAGCTTAGAGGGAACACTGATGTCAAGACTTTCCACTCTCATGATAGACATTTCAGGAATATCTAACACCGCCATGGATACTCTCTGGGTGCGTTCAGACGGGGGCTTTCTGCCGGCATAAACTGTACCGGTTGGAACCGGTGCAGTTTATGCCGGCAGAAACGCGATCACACTTACCTCCATTTTTAAAGGTAAGGACTTACCTTTAAAGTTTAAAGCCCAAACTGGCCTCCCTTAAGTCCCGGACTCCTCCGAATAGGTAAAGTAAGGGATTTTATTTTTTTTAAACAAACGCTCAGGGCGAAGCTTCGCCCAAGCGCATATCGCTCTGTTTAAAAAAAAAATGGCGGGGGGAAAACGGAAGCCTCAGGGTTCCAACAGAAATGGCTAGGCACCGGTGGAGAGTGATCAGATGCCGGGGAAGATTGAAAGCAACCGTTGCACTCAGTATACCACCACTTGGGGACGTAGTGGCAGAGTGCAACTATGTAAAGGGCTTTACACCAGTTAGGGACAGGAGGCAGATGTTCGCCGTCTGAATGCCGGTGAGTACAGCGATTGCAACCGGCACCTATACCGATGCAAAGCCCCCGTCTGAACGCACCCTCTGAGTATTGGAAATTTGGCCCGTCAAGCTGTGCTAAATGTTATAGCGAGGTTTGAAGAACCACCCGGACAAAGTGGCTTCCCACACAGATCAGGAGAGGACATCTATAATTCAGCTCTCAGTTAGTGGCTTCCATTTGGTTTAATTTGAAACCTTTATTAAAATTGAATTTTCATCTGCAGTGAAATCGTATGTGGATTTTCAGCACCAAATTGTCTTGAGCGAAACGTCCATAGAAATTTAAGATACTTCCATAAAGAGCTAACCTTACGTGATGTGGAAAATCCATGACTGAATCATCTGTTTTCATTTATAAGTTTAGATGGCTCTGAGTTTGAATGTACTGTTTTCCTGATCTGGATTACCCACAAAAGTTGTCATGAGTTCCTAAATGCTAATTGCATCAGGGAGATTAGATTGGGGGACAGTGTGTGCCCCAGTACTGTTTCTCCAGATACATGCTAATTGCCCTGTTCATCTTTAAAAGTACAAAAAGATGATGGGAGTTCTGACCACGTATCTCCTACATTGTGTGTGGCTTGGCCCTGAGATTGATAGTTTTCTCAGGGGGGTTTCATGTTCTTTTAATCTCCAACCAAAGCAAAGTTCTGAGTGAATTTGGAGGGTTCTTTTCAGGTGAAATAGATACAGGAATGTTTCATCATCTGGCACCTGCTTCAGCCAGGTGGAAGAGATGTTCCCTTGACTCATTCAGCTACATGCTGTCCCACAGAGGATTAGAGGGTGTAAACATGAATTAATATCTTGTTATTTGAAAATGTATGTATTGGAAGAAGGTGAAGGGAAAAGATTTCATATTGTAATAAACCAGACTCTTGTGTCTTACCTTTTCAGCATTTTTCTGAAAGAACTAGAAAAATACGAACAACTCCCTGAAGACGTGGGCCATTGCTTTGTCACCTGGGTAATAATCCTTTATGTAACACCATTTATTAATGGGTGTTTTAACCACTCAAAATGGGGATTGGGTGGCTTTAAGTGGTCCACGATGGTATGTTACTTGTTATGTAGTACTTTGTTGCAGGATATATGAGCCCTTTTGGGAGTTTTCTGCAGCTGTAAATGTTAAAAATACGGTCATGTAGCTTACAATCCACCGCAGTTTACAATACATCACAGTAATTTGAATCCACCACATGTGGCCCCTTGCAGGATCAGGAAGTTGAGAGTCCCCAAAACAGACTGAGATGGAACCCCCTGAGTAAGAATGATGGGAACCACTAGAATCAACTACCGTCTCTTTTTTCCTTTGCATTGTTCATTTTGTTCTCTAGGGGTTAGAAATCACCACATTATCCTAAAATTCCTTTGTTCCAGTTTCTGGTTATGTTAAATGTATGTTGACGATAGGACCACAACTGTAAAAATATGTGGTACCTCAAGCTAAATGCAATATTTATATAGAGACCTTCAGAAAATCTCAACTCCTAGCAATGTTCCCTCTAAGTTGAGTGGGGTCCAATTCTTTTTAAGCCTCCAGCTCACACATTTTTGTCTTAGCTCAGGAAGGATGGCTCCAGAACAGACTAATTTATGCAGCAGCCAAATCACTCACTCACAACTTTAATGCCAGTAGCTCACGAAGTAGAATTTTTGCTCACAAGACTCCACAGCTTAGAGGGAACATTGGTTCCTAGTCTAACTAGCTTATCAGAAATGTTTAAATCTGGCCATCTTCTTTGCTATGTGAAAACCAACGTGGCTAATAGTGCAATCTTGTGTAGAGTTACTTCAGAGTAAGCCTATTGATTCCATCTAGCTTAGGCTAGCATAATACTCTGCACGGAATTGCACTGTCAAATGCATTATTCCCACCGAAGCTTTTTAAAATCCTACCCATATCCATATTTGCTGCTATATTTCAGCCAATAAAACCATGATCCAAATGTGACAGTGCCCACTTATTCATAGGGTTTTCAAAAGCACTGACAAGGCACACATTTCATGGTAATGGCAATCACTGTTATCATAAACCGCCTTGGGAGCTGTTTAAGGCTGAAAGGTGGCTTGTGAACAGGGGTCATTTCGTAGAAAAAGAGGTGCAGGAGCTCATTAGCATAACTCATTAGCATAACTTATTTGCATAGGCCACATCCCCTGACATCACCCGGAAGTGTGTCAAAAGGCAACACCCACCGCTCAGGCTCCACTGGACTGTTTTGGATTGCTA